CCCCCCTGTGGCAGTTCTGCTGCAGGGGGGGCCCCCCTGCCTTGGGGGCCCCTGGGACTTGCTGCTGCTGCTGCTGCTGCTGCTGCAGGGGCCCCCGGGGCTTCTGCTGCTTCCGGCTCCGCTGCTGCTGCGCTGCTGGGGCCCCTTCGCCGCATAGTGAACTGCCGCAGCACCGCCTTCGTGACTTTGCTCCCCTTCTTGCTGCTGCTGCTGCTGCTGCTGCTGCTGCTGCTGCTGCTGCTGGGGGTTGTGGGCGGTTCTGCGGTGGCGCTGTCTGCTGCTGCTGGTGGCGCTGCTGCATCAGTCTCCGCTGCGTCTGCGCCCTCTGCTGCTGCTGCTGCTGCTGCTGCAGCGCTTGCTGCTGCGGGCGCCTCGCCCGCCCCTGCTGCTCCTGCTGCTGCTGCTGCTGCTGCTGCTGCAGGCTGCGGCTCCTGCTGCTGCAGCACCAACTCAGTCTCTGCTGGCAAAAACTCATAACCCTCAAACCCGCGGCTGCAGGGGCCCCCAGCCCCTGGCAGCAGCTGCGACAGCAGCGAGTAGTCGAGGGAGCCCAGCGAGCCGCGCAGCTGCTGCTGCTGCTGCTGCTGCTGCTGCTGCTGCTGCTGGGCTGCTGCTGCTGCTGGGCTGTGGGCGCCCTCCTGCGGCGCGGGAGCTGCTGCTGCATGCGCTGCAGCAGAGTGTCGGTGGCCGTGGGCCGCGCTGCCCGCGGCGTGGGGGCTCCCGGGGGCCCCCGGGGGCCCCCCTACCCTTTTTGCATAGAGAACTAAGTGGGCATCTTCCATAGAAACCCGCCAGCCCTGCATGCTGCAGAGGCCCCAGCGGAGGCCCAAAGCCCCGCAGGAGCCTGAGGCCACTTCTTTGGCCGAGAGGGGGGTGGAGAGGTAAGTGCCCATTGGCAGCAGCAGCAGCAGCAGCAGCAGCAGCAGCAGCAGCAGCAGCGGCGGCGGCGGCGGCGGCGGCGGCGGCAGCAGCGGCGGCTGCTGCGGGGTGGAGCTGCCGCACTGTCAGCGCGCCAGGAAGGCCAGGGAGGGGAAAGGCGCTGGCAGCAGCAGCAGCATAGTTCAGTTGCTGCTGCTGCTGCTGCTGCTGCAGTTGCTGCTGCTGCTGCTGCTGCTGCTCCGGCAGGGGCTCGGCGCGGCTGCTGGGGCGCCGCGAGCGGGTGTGCAGCAGCAGCAGCTGCAGCAGCTGCAGCAGCAGCAGCAGCAGCAACGGCGACTGCGACAGCAGCAGACTGCAGAAGGCTCTGGGGCCCTCACAGAAGAGGGGCTTTCTGCGTTGGGTGCAGCAGCAGCACGGAGCCCCAGAGGGCCCCCTCTGCTGCTGAGTAAGCTTGCTGCTGCTGCTGCTGCTGCTGCTGCTGCTGCTGCTGCGGTGACGCGGCAGATTAGCGACACTAGCCCGCGCGTCTTTGGGGAGAAAGAAAGAGACCAACAACTGCAGCAGGACTAACTTTAGACGGCTGGCTGCTGCTGCTGCAGCGGCTGCTGCTGCTGCTGCTGCTGCTGTTGACACGCAGCTGCTGCTGCGCCCACTTGCGCGGCCGCAGCAGCGAGCCGCAGCAGGTGTTAGGGAAACTGAGTTGGAATTTTCTTCTTTTTAAAAGTAATTTCAAATTAATTAAATTAAATTCATTTCCCGAGCCGCACCTGCGCGCGCGCAGCTGTACGTACACCCCAGCGCCCGCGCTGCCCGGCCCCCACGCAGTCACCCCAGTTGCGACTTTTCGCGTTTTTACCTTCCGGAGCTCAAAAACAACTCCAAAAAGACCCTTTTGACGCCATTTTTAATCTTTTATTGCTTCCGGGGCTTCTCGAACCCTCGGCGCATGCAGTCTCCGCTTTTTTCCGGACTTTTTGCGCCTTTTGGGGCCCCAAAGAAGCAAAAGTGGAAAAAGCCTCTCCAGGCGCTGGAACGCCCTTGGCCGCTGAGGTGTACGTACACCTGGGGGCCCCGGGGGCCCCCCAAAGGCGGGGAGGTGAAAGAGTTTTGTTTTGAAGAAGTGGTTTGAAGAAAGTGAAAATAAAAGAATTATAAAACAATTATTTAGTTTTTTTCGGGACTTTATCCCATCTCGGGCTCAGAGTCTGCAGAGTTTGTCGCAGAAAAGGAAAAAGAAAAAAGTCCAACTTTTAAAGATTGTCTATTTCCATTTATTTCAAAAAGAGAAAAAAAAAGAAAGACACACTAAGACCTGCATGCAGCCAACGAGCCGTTCCTGCAAAAAACCAAACTCAACAAACCCTAAACCCTAAACCCTAAACCCTAAACCCTCGGCCGTGCAGCAGGCAAAGCCGCGGTGTATGTACACCTGGGGCTGCGAGCCTTCTCAGCTAGCCAAGCCAAACCCACAGCTAGCTGCAGCTAGCTGTGGCTACAGCTAGCTACAGCTAGCTGCAGCTAGCTGTGGCTGCAGCTAGCTGCAGCCAGCTGTGGCTGGAGCTAGCTGCAGCTAGCTGTGGCAGCAGCTAGCTGTAGCTAGCTGCAGCTAGCTGCTGCTAACTGCCTAGCTAGCTAGTCAGCTATCCACGTGGCTAGCTAGCTAGCTGTGCGGCTAGCTAGCTAGCTATGGGGCTAGCTAGGAGCGCAGCTAGCCAGAAGACTAGCCCAGCGGCTAGCCAGCTAGCTAAGCTAGCTAGCCGTGTGGCTAGCTGGGGGCGCAGCTAGCTAGCGAGCGCATGCAGCTGTTTCTTTGTCTTTAAATTACGAAAAGTCATTTTTTATTATTCGAAATATACTTCACAATATTCGTTTTTATATCCGAAATAATAATTTCTATTTTTTCATTCAAAATAATAATTCCTAATTATTCATTAAGTTCAAAAATCTATTTAGCTGCTTCTCTCCAATTCCACGAAACAGCCAAACCCACTTTAAGACCCGCTGGGGGCCCCCAGGGGGCCCCCCTAGGGCCTCTTGCGGGGCTTTCTATGGGACCCTTTATGGGGGCCCTTGTGGACTCCTATGTGGGGTCCCCTGTGGGGGCCCCTGTGGGGATATTACTGGGGGCGCTTGTGGGCCCCTGTGGAGCCCCTATGGGGGCCCCCGTGGGGGCCCCTCTGGGGCCCCTATGGGGGCCCCCGTGGGGGCCCCTGTGGAAGCCCCCATGGGGGCCCCTGTGGGGGCCCCTGTGGGGCCCCCGTGGGGCCCCTGTGGAAGCCCCCATGGGGGCCCCTGTGGGGCCCCCATGGGGGCCCCTGTGGGGCCCCTGTGGGGCCCCCATGGGGGCCCCTGTGGGTTCACCTGTGCCTGCGGGTGGGGGTCCTTGACCTCAAGGGTTCTGTGTGGGGAAGGGCCTCGGGGCCCCTCAGGGGGCCCCTCTCTCGGGGGGAGGGGCCCCCCGAGTCCAGTTCTTGTCTGTGGGGCCCTGGGGTTGCTGTTGAGCCAGGGGAGGGGCCCCCCGAGTCCAGTTCTTGTCTGTGGGGCCCTGGGGTTGCTGTTGAGCCAAACCCCAGTACGCCTAAGACCTGCAAGCAGCAGCAGCAGCAGCAGCAGCAGCAGCAGCAGCTGAAGAAGCAGCAGCGGAGGCAGCAGCAGGGGGAGGCGCAGAGGATTTGGGGCTTTTAACGCGTGCACGCGGCGGCGCATGCAAGCGCCTGCAGCAGCGAAACCCTAAACCCTAAACGCTAAACCCCTTATTAGGGTTTAGTATTCGCAGTAGACTTCATAGCCCTTTTAGGATATTATAAACCACCAATAAGCAACTAAAAGAGTCCAAATATGGTTTCCGTTTTAATTATATTAATTTTGTTTAAATTTAATGGGCAGATGAAGCTTTAGGGCCTTCAAAGCTAGGGTTTAGGGTTTAGGGTTTAGGGTTTAGGGTTTAGGGTTTGGGGCTGGACTCACATGGCAATGCCTCCAACTTTGTGGTAACGGAGATATCCAGCTTTTACAGAAGGGGGGGCGAAATCAGGCAGCCAAAATATGAGGGTGCCTGAGACAAACCCTAAACCCTAAACCCTAAACCCTAAACCCTAAACCCTAAACCCTAGGGCCTGACGCGCGGCGTGGGCGGCTCCTAATCGCTAAACCCTCACTCTAATAATAGCCGCTGCTGCCCGGAGCCAGTGGCTGAAGGCAGTGGCCGCAGGGGTAAGGGTTTAGGGTTTAGGGTTTAGGGTTTAGGGTTTAGGGTTTACGATCTCACCTAACAAAAACTGGCACCAAGACAGAATATAGACTGTAAGGCCGATCCAGCTGTGAACGCTGCAGCGCCCCGCACAAACGCAACCCCCAAACCCTAAACCCTAAACCCTAAACCCTAAACCCTAAACCCTAAACCCTAAAATCCAAATCTTAAGCCTTAAACACTAATCCCTAGCACGAAACCCTAAACCCTGCCACAGAGCCACTGGCTTTCCAGGTGGGCTCTAAGGCCTTTTAAAACACCCAAAATCCCATGGGGGCCCCCAGGGGCCCCTGGGGGCCCCTGGAGGCCTTAGGGGCCCCCGTAGAGGCCCTGGGGGCCCCTGGGGTCCCTGAAGGCCCCTAGAGACCCCTAGGGGCCCCTAGGAGGCCCCTAGGGGGCCCCCCGGGGCCCTGGGGGCCCCTGAGAGAGCTGTTTAAATGGTATTTTGTGGATGTTGAGTTTGCGAAGTTTGTTGAATTGTTGGATTTGGAATTAAAAGGGATTTGCGTTTTGTTGGACCTGTAGAAGTCCGGGAATTTGTTGGACTTGTGGAAAAGAAGAACAACAAGAAAAGCGGAGAGAGAAAAAAGAAAAGAAAAAAAGTGGAGAAGGGCGTGGACCGTTTTGGCGGTTTTGCGGCGAAGGGCGAAGGCCTTGAAGGCAATGAGCTGCGGAAAAAGTAAAAGTTTGAAATCAATTTTTTCCAAACTTTCCCTAAACCCTAAACCCTAAACCCTAAACCCTAAACCCTAAACCCTAAACCCTAAACCCGCGACCAACTAACTCCACCAAAAACGAACTCCTGGGCAAGCAGAATGGCCGCGAGACGCAAAACCCTAAACCCTAAACCCTAAACCCTAAACCCTAAACCCTAAACCCTAAACCCTAAGCCTTAGACCCTGGGCTTGGAGCTCGAGACCCTAGAAAGCGAGCGCTTACCTCGCGGTCGTAAACCCTAAACCCTAAACCCTTGTGCAACGGCTGCAGCAAAACTGCGGTTTATTTGTTTTTGTTTTTATTATTTTATTATTATTTTTATTTATTTTTATTTTTTAAATTCTATTTTGGTTCCTTACCGACTCCGTCATTGCCACGCCGAAGGCCAGAATGTTGAGGAGAGGATGGAAGTTGAAGAACTTAACTGAGACAAAAAACAAACCCTAAACCCTAAACCCTAAACCCTAAACCCTAAACCCTAAACCCTAAACCCTAAACCCTAAACCCTAGAGAGCCGTCAAACCCTGGGCCCTTCTTCCTAAACCCTAAACCCTAACCCCTAAGCCCCCCGAAGCCCTCAGCGCTAAACCGCCGGCCCTCCGAGCGTTTGCCCTGCAACCCCTAAACCCTAAACCCTAAACCCTAAACCCTAAAATGGAGGTTTACGCGATTTAATGTCGGAAAGTGAAAAGCCTCCGCCCCACTCCTTTTGGAGACAAAGAGCGACTTGAAGAGAAAAAAGAAAAATGACAAAAATTTGAGTCAGCCAAAAAAACCAGCGAGACTCTTTTGCAGGTTCTTCCAGCAGCATTTTCTTTTTTATTTTTATTTTCTTTTTTGAATTTAAATCTTTTATTTTCCTTCCTCAATCCAAATTCTTTTCTTTTCTTCTTCGAAACTCTTTCGCGGCCTCTCTCTCTTCAGCCTGCTGCTGCTGCTGCTGCTGCTGCTGCTGTTGCTGCTGCTGCTGCTGCTGCTGCTGCTGCTGCTGTTGCTGCTGCTGCTGCTGCTGCTGTTGCTGCTGCTGCTGCTGTTGCTGCTGCTGCTGCTGGCCTGTGCCTTCGTAGGGAGCGAAGAGGCGCAAAGAGCTGCTGCTGCAAAGAGGCAAAAGGGGAGAAGAACTCCAGTAGCTGCCTTTGCTTGCAGAAGTGCAGCTGCTGCGGCCAAAGAGCTTTCTGAATAGTTATTTTCCCTTTCTGCATGCAGCTGCATGCAAATAAGAATATTATTTGGAGAAAAAGTGGGAGATTGGGGGCAGTTGATGTACAAACAAGTACAGGAGCTCCAGTTTCAGGTGTCTGGACACCGCGCTGTACAGGAAATAGCGCGGAGGCAGCAAAGGGAGAAGTTCCGTTTCGCGTTTTATTTTGCAAAAAGGAATTTAAAGGTATTTGGAGTAAAAAAGAAAAGACAAAAGGACAAAAAAAAGGAAAATAGAATTGAAAAGGCTGTCGCAGTCTTGCGCTGAGTCACTTGCAGCAAATTGCAAAACGGGAAACTCACGGGAAGGCGCGCATGCAGCAGCAGCCCGGCTGCTGCAAAACTCAAAATTTGAATATTAATTTCAAATTAAATTCTTTAATTTCGGTTTTTCCATTAATTGAACAAAAACACCCGGCTTTTGTAGGGGGGAAAGCTGGGCAAACAACCCTGGGCTCCTGCTGCTCGCAGCCGCCTTCCGCCTTCCCTCCGGCCTTTTTGTGCAAGAAAAAGAAAATATAAAAGTGATGCATTGAAAATAAAAAAGAAGAAGCTGCTGTTTCACCAGGTGTACAGACACCCGGCAGCAGCTGCGGTCCGCTGCGCTGCAAACTCCCGAACAGATCACTGAAAGTGGAAAGCTGTCCGATCTTCAGACTTAAAGCGCCAAAACTTGAATTAATTCGCTTTTTTCTTCAATCATTTATTATTATTTAAATAATTGAATCAATTTGATCCGCCAATTTGCCCTCAAAACCCGAAATTTCCCGCAATTCAACTTTTGAGTCCCACCATCGAGTTTCTGCTGCCGCTGCTGCAGCTTTCGATCTGCTGCTGCTGCAGCGGCTCTTTCCAGGCCTTTTATCTCCAACTGCAAATTTGTTTCTTTTTTATTTTTATTTCCAGAATACCAACAAGACACAGCGGATTTGGTCCCCGCAGCAGCAGCAGCAAGCAGCAAAGATGCCCTGCAGCTGCAGCAAGCTGCTGCTGCCTGCTGCAGCAAGCAGCAACTCACCATGAGCTGCTGTCTTCTGCTGCTCGCAGCCAAAAAATGTTTTCAGCAGCCTCGAGGGGCCCTCTGGGGGCTTCCTCGCGGGCGCGAGCAGCAGCCTGCAGCGCAGCAGCAGCAGCACCAGGAGCGCCCCCTGCAGCAGCAGCAGCAGCAGCAGCAGCACGTCCTGCAGCAGCAGCAACAGCAGCAGCCACGCAGGTTGCAGCGCTCCCCGTGGGGCCCCGCTTCCCCTTCTTTGCTGCAGAGGGGCCTTGGAGGGGGCCCCCAAGAGGGGGGCCCCCCGGGAAGGGGGGCCCCCCTGTGGCTGTAAGCCCTGCTGCTGCCAAGTGCTGCAGCACTCATTCCCATCTGCTGCGCTGCTGCAGCACGCATTCACATTTGCTGCGCTGCTGCAGCACTTATTCAAATTTGCTGCACTCAGCAGCAAACTTGAAGCAAATGCAGCAGCAAAACAAACAAAGACCCAAAAAGGCAAATCGGGGGGCCCCTGTGGGGCCCCACCTGGTCTACAGGGCCCAGGCAAGTCTTCAGAACCTCCACTCTAAGGGGGGCCCCCAGAATTTAGGGTTTAGGGTTTAGGGTTTAGGGTTTAGGGTTTAGGGTTTGGGGTTTAGGGGAGCTAAACGCCGGAGGTGTTTAGGGGAGGGAAAATTCAGTTTCTTCTTTTTCTGCAAATTTCCCTTTAATTGTTTTTACTTTTTCATTGCATGCATTGGCTGAGCGATAGCAGCAGCAGCAGCAGCAGCAGCAGCAACAGCAGCAGCAGCAACAGCAGCAGCAGCAGCAGCAGCACACGCTGCGTGCAACCCCGGCATTCGTTTTTTCGCTAATTTCGGGGCTTTTTGCAAACACTTGCATTTAATCTTTTCATTTTGCTGTTTCATTCTTTTTAATATTCTTTTTAATCTTTTGCTGCTGCTGCTTTTGTCTCAGTGGGAAGTCTACAAACAAAAGCAGCACAGGGGCCCCCCTCGCTCTCCAGGGGGCCCCCTTGGGGCCCCCCTGGAGCCTCTCCATGATGCCCTTGATGCCCCTGGGGGCCCCCCTGGGGGCCCCCCTGGGGGCCCCCCTGGGGGCCCCCCTGGGGGCCCCCCTGGGGCCCCTTCTAGGGCCCTCCTTGGGGGCCCCCCTGGGAACTCCCGGGGGGGCCCCCTGGGGGCCCCCGCTGGGGGCCCCCCTGGGGGCCCCCAGGGGGCCCCCGATGGGGGCCCCCCTGGGGGCCCCCGTGGGCCCCGGAAGAAGGAAAAGGGACGTTTGGGGGGTTTGCTGCTGCTGCGTCGGGTGTGGGAGCAGCAGGGGCAGCTAAGTGTGTTTGCTGCAGCAGATTTGGCTTATTTTGTTGCACTAAAAAGAAATGCTCCTGAGTTGCTGCTGCAGCAGCTGCTGCTGTTTGTGCTGTCTAGACACCCGGAGAGGAGCCTCGACGTGCTGCGCATGCACAGGCACGCTTTGCTGCTGCGCTTCGCACAAAGCTGCTGCTGCTGCTGCTGCTGCTGCTGCTGCTGCTGCTGCTGCTGCTGCTGTCTTTCTTCTTTCGGGTCCTTTTTTCTCCTGTTGCTTTTTTGCTGCTGCTTCTTCTCTCTCAGTTTTAAGTCTTTTCTTTTTTCCCCATTTATCTTTTTATTTCTTTCACTGTTCATGTCATCAGCACATTTTCACCGTTCACTAGCTCTGCTGCTGCTGCTGCTGCTGCTGCTGCTGCTGCTGCTGCTGCGTGCGCGCAGGCTGCTGCGGGTGTTCCAGCTGGCCCCCGGAGTGGCCGAGCGGGAGCTGCTGCTGCCCTTTTGCACTTTGCTGCAGCAGCAGCTGCATTTATTTTCTTTTGCGGATTTGCAGCTGCTGCTGTCGGACTTCGCAGCTGTATATACACCTCAGTTCCTGCCCCTCTTCAACGCCGCCGCCAGAGTCCTCACGCGCCCCCCCACCAGCAGCAGCAGCAGCAGCAGCAGCAGCAGCAGCAGCAGCAGCAGCAGCAGCAATGATAGGCGAGACAGGCTCACTCCGCTTCAGGCGTGCTTCCTTTTGCATGCGCTAGGTAGGCCAAAACGCCTCTTTGGCTGTCTTGGTAGCTCAGCAGCAGCAGCAGCAGCAGCAGCAGCAGCAGCAGCAGCAGAAGCAGCAGCAGCAGCAGCAGCAGCAGCAGCAGCAGCAGCAACAGGAGGCCATGGTGCGCATGCTGTGCCTGTGTCTTTTTTTCTGTCGTTTCTCTTCATTTCAGAATATCTGTAAGCAGTTTATTTAATTATTATTCTGTTTTATTTTTATTTTTATTTTTATTTTTGTTTTTGTTTTTATTTTTGTTTTTGTTTTTATTTGCTGCTGCTGGCCTTCAGGCAAAACAGACTGCAGGGATCCCAGCCTCTTGGCTTTCTTAATAGAGATCGTTGAAGCTGGGGTGCAGCAGCTGCAGCAGCAGCAGCTGCTGCTGCAGCAGCAGCAGCAGCACGAACAGCAGCAGCAGCAGCAGCTGCAGCAGCAGCAGCAAGAAGAAAGAAGCGCGAGAGCAACTGCGGCTGATGTGCACAAGAATCCGTCAGCAGCAAAAGGAGAGCAAAGAGAGTATGAAAAAAATGAAAAAAGAGACAAGATGCAGCAGCAGCAGCAGCAGCAGCAGCAGCAGCAGCAGCAGCAGGACATAACGGGAGAAGGGCTTGTTATGTGTCTTAATGGATTGGCCAACATGAACTGCAAAGTCAAAGAAGACACTTTAAATCATTTGCTGCTGCTGCTGCGGCCTTTTCTGCTGCGCGAGGAGGTCAGCCGCCCAAAATTTAGTCCTTTGGCTTGCTGCTGCTGCTGCTGCTGCTGCTGCTGCTGCTGCTGCTGCTGCAGCTAGTCTTTGCCTCGTTGTGTTCTTCTCTTTGTTTCTTTGTCTCCTTGCCTTTGTTTCTGCTTGAGTCTGGTGCTGCGTGCCTGCTGCTGCTGCTCCTCTGCTGCTGCTGCTGCTGCTTGAGTCTGCTGCTGCTGCTTGGCTGCTGCTGTTACCGGCGTCTGCTGCTGCAGCCGATGCCAGCTGCTGCTGCTGCTTGAGCCGGCCTTCACCACTGCTTGAGCCTACTGCTGCTGCTGCTTGAGCCTGCTGCTGCTGCTGCTGCGTGAGCCTGCAGCGTGCTGCTGCTACTGGAGGGTGCTGCTGCTGCTGCTCTGCTGCTGCTGCTGCTGCTGCTGCTGCAGCCTTCTGTTTTGGGCCACGCGAGCCCCGAGCGGCGGCTGCTGCTGCTGTTTAATTCTGTCTCCAGTTTGGCCCGGCTGGGGCTGTGGGGTTTGGGGCTGCATGCGCTGCTGGCGGAAGCTTGCTGCTGCTGCTGCTGGAGTGAGTTGGGGCCTTACGAGCCTCTGGACCTATTTGCTGCTGCTCTCGCGCTGCAGCAGCAGGGCAGAGTCAGCCCTGCTGCTGCTGCTGCTGCTGCTGCTGCAGTCAAAGCCCTCGAAAACAAGCTGCTGCAGCAGCAGCACAAGAAACTCGACCCCGAGGACCTTGCAGCAGCAGCAGCAGCAGCAGGCCTCACAACCGCAGAGGCAGCGCCCGCACCAGCAGCAGCAGCAGCAGCAGCAGCAGCAGCAGCAGCAACTCCCGCTGCTCCAAATGGCGCTGCTGCGCTGCCGCATCCTGCGTTTGCTGCAGCAGCAAACTGCTACGTTGCTGCTGCTGCAGTTGGCCTCGTGGCCCTCCGGCCTCTTATCTTTTCGCTGCACCCCTCTTTTAGGGTTTCTTGTCTCCTAACCCTCAGCAAACTCGAAGCCCTAAAACCCCACTGCCTCCAGCAGCAGCAGCAGCAGCAGCAGCAGCAGCAGCAGCAGCAGCAGCAGCAGCAGCAGCAGCAGCAGC